GAAGTGAAAAGAATAAACAAACAATCTAGTTTGCGCGCCGAGATCGGTCGCTCATCATAGACTCCTCCGGATTGACGGTCAAACAGTCCGTACACGTGTTTTACCGCTTGCATACTCAATGTAATCCAGTATTACACGGCGTCAAGACATTGTGGGTGACTAGAGATTCTCACGTGAATGTGCACTCTCTGGAGTCACGTTGACAGTGAAGAATTATGGAAACTGTTGAAATGCCCGAACATCGCGGTGCGCAACACTTTATTTGTCTCTAAGTTTGATTGGATAGTTTCATTTAAAATGCCTCCTGCCCCTCCCATTCTTGAGGTCAAAATTAACTAATTGGAAGTTGAAGATTACCGTTTATGATGGTCATTATCGTGTTCCAAAGATTCCTAATGACCTCCCCACCCCTCTTGTGATCCACCTTTTCCTCAGGGTTTTGGGACACTATTAATGGAAGAAGCTGAGCGCATTGCACGGGAAGAACACGGTTCCGTCAAAATCGCTGTAATCTCCGGAGTCGGGACAAGAAATTACTATCGTAAATTGGGTTACGAACTCGAAGGACCTTATATGACCAAATGGCTAACTGCAGCTGCTTGATTGTTTCTCACCCTGCCAGAGATAGAGAGACCGTGTGTGATACTGTGCAGTAAATACTCGTGATATTGACCTATTCGTATGTTTTTTTTGTTTGGTAGAATTGCGAACGCCGCACCCGTTTACGCATGACCATTAATGCGTCACGAGTGCAATCAAGTTGGACAGGTCGACTAATCCGTGGAGTAGTGGATTTCCTCGCTGTGATAATCCTCCTTCGTTGATAGTTGCTGGCACCGTCTACACCCTGTTCTGACTCGTAGAATGCGCCTAAAGCGGGCTGCTAGTTTTATCTACGCACCCGACAACTTCCAATATTTGGTTTGTCACACACACGTACAATATTGCAGCTATCAAAATGAGTGTCCTCGCTGTTCACAGACAACCAATCGAATCGTAGAAGAGTAAGCGTATTCCACCTCTAATAAAAAAATAATAGACATTAAATTGTATCATTGTGTTGTTTTATCCTTTTTAAATGCCTTAATCCACTTCTAAATGGATCGAAATGAGTATAGAATATTTCGAAATGAAAAATGCATTCTGAATAAAGAGACATTCCGTTTTCTGCACGTTTATCTACTTTGGATGGTAAAATGCAGCTTTTAAATTGCCTAATAAATGAATCAGTTCGATAGACGAGTTCCACCAGTTTTATACTCATCTGACTGAGAATGGCTCATGCTCATAACAGATTCGGTAACATACAAACGTTGGATGGTGTCAGTGATCTTGAAATGTGTGTAGATATTTTTGGGGACGAAATCGTGTTACTCATGAGTAGTCAAGGTATAAAAATGAAGAATATCGCCGGATGTGATCCGCGATTACATGAAAATATGTTGGTGGATAGGTAATTTGCACATAGGTTTAGATTCATTTGGCAACATGCTTTTGACAATTGGTCCCGGTCTTTCGCATGAGTTTGGCTCCATTGACCTTTGTGCGTATTCCTAAAATCAGGTTCACAAAATTTACATCTGACGAACGCCACTGCGATTTCTATGCGCCCAACGCTAATTATCCCCCCCCCTGACTCGCTTGCTTTTAAGAATACCTACCCTCTCTCTCCTTTTTAAGTTGTGTTCACCAAACTTGCGGCCAATTTTTCGTGCATTACATGATCAAACAGTGCATACAAATGGTGAGGATCAACCAATCTAATTTCTGAACGTCGAATGTAGATGACATGTTTTGTGTTCGGCAAAAGTAGCGATCGAAACCCCGGTTTGAACATATACTGTTGGAAATTACTTAACGAGGTAGATATTTGAAGCGGAACAAAGCAACTCCAGTCATCTGTATGCGTTGATATAGTCAAATTACTTAGGGAATTATTCTAAAGGAGAGAAAATGTTGCAGAACAGCTAGGATAAGAACTTTTATTTTTCGTGTCATCTGCCTACGGGGGCAACTTAGTACAATATCAGAAGTTGAGTATCCTGACAGGTTTATCGAACGAAACTGAACTGGGTGGACAAACTGAAAGACAATATCGGTAAAGTTCGTCACAATGGGACTAAGCCACAAAGAATCACTGAACAGTGCGTACCGCCAAACTAAATAGCGTGTGCTCGACCACGCCTGCTATCAAATTTATAACTTAGGAGATGTATTCGTTCACCTCGTATGTGCCAATCTACTAATTGATTTGCATCTGTAATGCAATTCATATGACTTGAGCAGTGGTGTATCGGAAACAAAAATATCAGAGAACATAATCAACTTGGACAGTAACGGAAAGAGACGCAAAGGGACTAAAATGTTTCGTTATTATGATTCGCTCAGTTGAGATTGCACCCTTGGTCAATTGTTATTTCACATTCACTATAATATAATACCTACTGATTTTCATTTAACCTGGACCACCCAGTTGCTATCCTTGCCCGAACAACGGCAAAGGCAATTAACATTTGTGCGTACAATCGATACAGTTTCAGGCTCCCAAACTTTTCTGGCCGAATTATGAACTCATTGAGGATTATCTGACGTTCACTCATACTTAACTCAGTCAATTTGTAAGTAGTAGTGTGGGATGAACTGCATTGATTTGCACGGACCGCCCTTTCTGACTCTTTCTCCACTCACATTCCTCTGTCCATCCAACCAGCCATGCATTGGACTCGCATTTTTAGTTCCCGTGGGGTCTATTCCGTCACGCGTGTTCATCGTCTAGTCCGGGCTTTGAACTCCGAAGCCCCCTTGTCGTGTTACCACTTATCAGGCTAACCAAAATTACCAATTCATGTGTTTTTCTTATGTCGTCTTCAAAGACGGTCAGTCATTTATTTTCAGCTTGGCAATATTGTTGCGAGATACAATACGCGGTTTGTTAGCTCTTTTCTCCCACTCAGAACTATTTTGCATGTTTACGTCTGATATCCAAATTAATTCGCACTTGATTCACTATTACTTACCGTCGGCCCTAAGTTCAAATCCCAGGTGGGACGGTGGATCGGTCTTGTTGATGAACTCTGAGGAAAACGAAATTCAACTCCAGTGCTCCCTAAGTATGTTTGGTGGACCAGATGAACTGAGGATCGTACGCGAAAATGGAGTCTAAAGGATAGTCAGTCAACTTTTAGGATGAAGACTTCGGTCAATTACAGAGTCATCTGGGAAAATACATAAATAAGGTAGCTGGGTGGCAGTGGCAGTAGCGGATCCGTTCTCACGATTTCTTGGTCACTGAAATGGTGACCGCTTGGCATTGGTTCGTTTAGACTAACCACCCCGTCCCTTCAAACTAGGGCATATTACGTGGTCATATTTCACTGGATCATCTTGTGAAGTTGTGGTCAATAGGCGAGGTTCCTTTCACAGCTGTATGATCCTGGTGGCATCTTAAATCATCCTAATTGTGTTACAACAATTGGGAAAGTTTGGCTCACTTTTGACGCATTAATCCCTCCCCCGAGTTGGATCACGTTCTATCTCTCCACACGGGACAGGGCTAAAACTCCACTGAATCGGCCCCGATCGACGTGACCGGTCAATTCAGCATGTACCATGCATCCTGCAAACACAGTGTATCGCAACGTCGTTCTAAAAATAGGAACAGGTGTACAATCTTCGGGCAAATCAGTCGTCCCCCTGAATCATTTGCGGCACCATTATGAATATATCCCGTTGCGTTTCACCCTCCACCCACCGAACAGGCTCCGCGATAAATCACTCTCTCCCTCCTAAAATTAAGGATTCTTCCTCTATCTGTCTCCCGCCCATCCTATCTCTGCATTCTGTCGGCATGGTTTGACCTTTTCACTTAGGATGTGGTCATACATCCTAATCCTGACTGTATGCATCATGTGTACGTGATTTCTTTTTCCCTACCTGACAGAACCGAACCACATTTGTTCCCAATTGTTTCAGTCTGGTTTTTCTCGTTCCCATTCGGCACCGTCACAGCATGGTGTCTGAACGGGAGCGGCAGGGGGAGGGGGGCTCGCCATTTAGTGTGGCATAAGGTGGCCTGTACCGTGGATGGGGTTTTGGATAAATTACCAGAGAATCAGATCATTTCATCATCAGTCTGCACATGTTTTTATGATAATGAATTATGTGAATGCCTCAATCGAAAAGTCACGGTTCGCATTGCTTCTGTGACCTAGTGGTTTGAACCTATTCAATAATATTAAACGTTGACGAAAGAAAGTTGACGCAACTTTGTAAACAAAAGAAAAACGCAATCTCGTGTTC